TCATTTCTAGTGCATGACTCACTGAACTCTGATTTCCTTCAAGATTTTAAGAGGAAACAGCAATGCTTTTATCCTCCTCTCCTCTTTGTGAAGGAATCTTTTGAATTTATTGGGTTTTATAACTTCTGAAAAAGGATATAATTTGTCTGTGTGTGTGTGTAATGTGACTTTTATCATATCTTGTTGAAATCATCCTATGATCGCATACTTGGCATGTCATCCCCTCAAACCCTTTTGCTGAATTATCAGAGTCACTGAAAAAGTAACTGCCTTATCCTAATCATGGGCATTTAATTCCTTCACTGAGACAAGCCCAGCCTACATTTAGCTCCATCCTAACACTCTATTACCTAATTGAGGTCAGCATTTTGCTGTCTTTGTCACAGGGGATTTTTCCATATTGCCCATCCAAACCTACCCTTAAGCGCAGTATATTATGCCTTTCCAAAGTACAGCACTGTGCACATATTGAAAACCTATAAGATCCCCAGGCACTTGTCTTTTTTTTAGTGAAAACAAGTAAAATTCTTCAGCTCTTCCCTCCTCATTCATCTTAGATGTCTGATTGAGCCGCTGCTACAAAAGAGTCTAGGTTTGCCCACTGCATCTGAAGGCAGATATGTCACTACTTTTTCTATAAAATTTGTTCCACTGAAAATTTGTCCTGTGCTTCTCAGTTAACACAGTGCTTTTTCAAGATAGGTCATCACTGCTGACTTTCATGACTGAGAGAGCGTGGCCCCAGTTTGCTGCAAGATTGGCACTGTGAATCCTTTATCTGATCAGACATCTTTCAAGGAACCTGAGGCAAGAACCTGCTGCAGGAACTTCAGCACAACTGTCCCGAAGTTTGATGAAGTTAGAAGGAACTGAAAACACAGTAATTTCCTTCTAAGTGAAGGAATACTCTGGCTATGAAAAATACAATTCCATCACACAAGATGCTGTGCTTGGATTGTAACAAAACCAGTACCTACACTTTGTCAGAGTGGCTCAATTCACATTGCTTAATAGCAGAAGGAGCTGCTGGCTCCTAGGTAAGCACAGACATGCCTGGAATGGAGGATTAAACAAACCTGCTGGTCAAGCTCTTTACTGGAGGCTGCTGGAGAAGTGCCCAGTGCATGAGCGAAGAGGGCTTTTCTGAAAGCCTGCAGTCTAAGACCTGAAATGTTTAGCCACAACCATGCTCTCTGCAGCTATTTCTGATTTCACATTCCTTGTATCACAGCAAGAAGCAAGAGATTATACAGATGCTGCTGCCTTTCTTTAAGCTCCTCACCATATTCTCCAAGCAGAATTAGGGCTGAATGTAACAGCAGCTATTTGGGGCTGGTCTGAACAAAATCTCCTTAGACTCCAGGTCACTAGATTGAGGAAATGAAAGTTTAGGGTCCTTCTTGGATTTAGAAATATTTTTTTTCTTTTAATTAAGATTCAATTGTTAGCAAAGGTGAGTTATTTCTGAATTTAGTTAACAAGTCCTTCAAACTAAAAACATTTGGTTTTGTAAGCCACTGTGCTGCCTCATTGCAGTCTTCAACATCCTCATGAGGCGAAGTGGAGGGGTAGGTACAGAGCTCTTCTTCACTCTCATGACCAGTGACAGGACTTGAGGAAACAGTATGAAGCTGTGTCAGGGGAGCTTTAGGTTATGCACCAGGAAAAGGTTTTTCACCCAAAGGGTGGTTGGGCACTAGAACAGGCTCCCCAGGGAAGTGGTCACAGCACCGAGCCTGACAGCACTCTCAGGCATCAAGTGTGATTCTTGGGGTGTCCTGTGCGGGGCCAGGAGTTGGACTTGATGATCCCCATGGGTTAGTTCCAACTCAGCATATTCTGTGATTCTATGGTAATGTGTAACTATGGAGGAGCTGTAGCTTCTCCCAACTATATAAGTCCCTACTTCTCCCTATTTATGCTGGCAAGGTATATATACACACCAGACCTATTTTCTCTGGCACCCAGATAAAGAAATCAGGCAGTGAATCACCCAGTTTTTTTCCTCTTATCCTAAATTCTGTTATTTTGAGGCCTCATAGACAGAAGAGCAGAATCTTTCTGCATTTTGTAATTTACACAGTGGAGAATACTGCCAGTGCTCAAGTAATCACAGGAGTTAGTGACTCACTTTTGCCTTAAGCTTATGAAAATAAGTAATAATGTTTGTTAGGAGTGGCCAATAATTTTGTTTTCATTTATTGCATTTAATCCATCACTTTTTTTGTTAGATTCTAAAACCAGTTTGTGGTTTTGTTTTGATCTCTTTATTACTTACCTTAATGTGTTTTGATACATGCTTGCAAGCACTGCTCATCAGACAGTCACTGCAGTTTTGTTGAACATTTGCTAATACATTAGATGCCTGGTTCCCCTTACAGCATTTTTCTGCTCCTGTAGGTGCAGTTGCAGATTAAAGATCTCTGTATGAATTCAATTAAGTTCAACAAGATATAGACTCCATGTTAAATGAGAAGGTTAGTGGTTACAAAGAGTGTTCAAGGGCTCTCAGTCTGCTCAGCACGGTTGGTTCTCCTCTCATGTCTGTGATGGAGTCATACAAGTCATCACAAGTAATTATTTTTGACTCAATGGGTCAATGATTTGAAGGTAATGGGGCAGGTGTGGTCAAACCAGACCAAGCAGCGTAGCACCTATGATTTACCTGAGCAATATGGGGGTCTCAGGGGTATGAAGGACAGGGTATCTCACCATGGTGAGTAGTCACAGCCTGTCTGTACTGCAGTGGGACAGCATGTGATGGATTCAGACTTGCTGATGGGCAGCTGCCACGGCGTCGAGGAGCAAGGAAGCAAGGAAGGCCCACGTGTGTGGAGATCCACCCTGCTGGACACACCCTTGACTCTTCCTGCATCAGTCCCATCTCAAGTGCACCAGTTCTGTCTCATTTCAGACTGTCCTTTTGGGGACACAAGAGGGAGCAGGAGGGTAGGGCTGTACTGGTGAATGGAGGAGGAAATCTGCAGTGTTTGGCAGAACCCCACGTCCTCCTGGGGGGCCCTGGGTTGCTTACAGGGACCTCTGATCTTGAGGCCAGGCAGTGTGACTGAGCAGAATAGAAAGGAAGCAACCCTCAGAAGATCCTCATGCCACAGATGCAAGATAGGTAACTTATCTCATAAAAAAAAAAAAAAGAAATTCTCTCAATAAAGCATCGTAAGAAAGGGTTTCAAGTGATGTGGAAGGTAAGCAGGTGGCAAACTGTCTTTGCACATGCCTCCCCTGCCCAGTCCCTCAGCAGCACAAGGCTCTGCTGATTAATAGTTAATCTCCACAATAAACTGGGCTTGCCCCAGGAGTAAATTCAAAATAAACACAAGTCTTTCTTATCCTTAATGTCATGGTTTACTTGACAAGGGGAAAGGTCTCAAAGCGCATGACTGGTATTAGCGTGTGATTTAAATTTCAAAGTGGTGAACAAGAGGGCAAAGGCATTGCCCTCCCTCCTACCTTTTCCCAAAGCTAATGCTACCAGAGACCTCCACCCTAAAATCAGTCAGTAAAATGCAAATAACAGGGAGCAACCACCCAAGATGACTGGGAAATTGCTCAAGTAACACTGAGCATCCTGATGAGGAGTGCACATGTTACTCTCTTCTATACCACAGATGGTCAGGTGGACTGTTAGTGTCCCAGCACTGCTGCCTGCCCAGCACCTCTCATCTGAAAGAAGCAGGCAAAGACATCTACAACAAAAGCAGATTGATTTCCCTTCTCTGTCCTGAGGCTGATTCTCATGTTTCTCATGATTCTCAAAGAATCATCTCTGATTCCTTGGCAATATTTGTGTCATGGTTTCATGTTCACAGTCATTTCCTGGTCCTTTTAATTGAGGACTCCCTTCTTGCCCATGAGGAAGATCAGGGTTTTGGGAGTCTTACCAATAGAGATGGATCTGCTGTCTACTGCCTTTGCTTCTGACATCCATCACTTTGTCTTAATCCACCAGCAGGTTGTCACAAATCACTTTTTGCCAGCTACAGTGATTCCAGTTTGGAGGAATATTTTCTCATCCTGGCCTGTGATCAAACCCACTTCTCGAGACAAGACAGCTGCGAGGAGCACTCCTGGCTTAGCTGCTCACACACCTGTGTTGTCAGAGAGGCCCATGACAGCCACATCTCCAAGATTTCTGTCTGCCAAGGTGGTGCTGATGTAGTACATAAAGTAATGCATCATGGCTGAGCTGTCTGCATCTTTCAGAAATGCCCAACACCAAGCTTCCCACTTTCCACCTGCTGGGGTTTTGGTCTCAGCACACTGATTTCAATTTGGGAGTTTGGTGTTCAGATCCTGGCAAGCATGAACGGGGGAGCTGGGGGAAAACGGCAGCCAAGGCTCTGGCTTTCCCTGTGAGGAGAGGCCTGGGGTGACAGCAGTGATCTCCACTCCAGCCCTGTATTTGATGCCATATTTGCCTTGTGGGTGGGTATCCCACAGAGTCACTTCCCTGTGACCCTGCCAACAGGAGAGAAGCTCTCAGAGAGGGTCTCACGAGTTTAGTACCAAGCAGCTGGGGCAGTGATGAATATATCCCAAATATATCCCAAATATATCCCAAAGCAGCCGAACGCCACGGGACACCCCTTCCACGTTAGGTGCCCACTACATTAGGCTGCTAGTCGCACCAGTTCTTTGCCTCCATCCGTCCACCCGTTCCCCGCTTCTCCGAGTCAAACCAAACGCGTCAATTTGACGCGCTCCGCGCATTTCCACGCAGTCCGCACTTTTCCTGTGGCACCGCTTCTAATGAAAGCCCGGATATCAGAAGAAACGCATCCACTGCCGGCGCTGTGCCGAGCCGGACGCTCAGCCCTTTACTTTCCGCGCTGTGACCGCCCTCTCTCCCCCAGCGAAGGTCGCGGCCCCGCTGCCCCCTCAGCCCGGGGCGGGTGCCGGCGGGGCGGTGCCGGCGGGGCCGGAGGGGGCGGTGCGGGCCCGCTCCGCCCATCGCTCTCTCGGTGCCGGCGGAGCCGCGGCGAGGCCCAGTCGCCATGAGCGGCCTGCGGGGCTCCCTGGGGCCGGCCCGGCCGGGCTGGGTGTGGGGGGCGGCGGCGCTGCTGGCGCTGGGCGCCCTGCTCGGAGCCTGGCGCTGGGCCGGGCGGCGCCGCCGCCGCCGCCGCCTGCAGCGGGTCGGGACGGTGCTGAGGCTCTTCGTGTACCCGGTGAAGTCGTGCAAGGGGGTGTCGGTGCGGCGGGCGCAGGTGACGCCCATGGGGCTGCGCAGCGGGGATATGCGGGACAGGTACGGCGGGGCGGGGCGCGGGGCTCCCCGTTTGCCGGGTGCTTTCCTGAGGGCCTGGGCGGGTGGCACCTGCTGCTCCGAAGGTGCCGCCGTGCCCACCACTGACGGCGCCGGGCGCGCCTCTGTCCCCCCGGCCCGCCGCAGGTTCTGGCTCGTGATCACGGAGGATGGGCACATGGTCACGGCCCGACAGGAGCCGCGGCTCGTCCTCGTTTCTGTCGGCTGTGACAACGGGCACTTGACCTTCGATGCCCCAGACATGGAGAAGCTCTGCTTGCCTGTGAACGTCCCCGGGAAAAACCCCGTCCATAACTGCAGGTACCGAAAAAGGGTTTTTTTGGCCCCTTCCCCTGTCTCTAAATACTGTCTTACTCACATCCTTTGCTTTTCAAGATTGTGTGAGGCTTTGCATTTTTTTAATGCAGAAACTGGCAGGAGAAAGTTGGGTGCTTTTGCATCTCTTCTGTGGGGGTGTGTCTCCCCATTTGGATAACGGAGAGAGACTTCAAACCAGGGCCTGTACTGATAAGATAAGGGGCAGTGGTGTTGAAATAAAAGAGGGTAGGTTTAGATTAGATAAAATGAAAACATTTTTAACAGTAAGGCTGGTAAGGCACTGGAACATGTTTCCCAGAGAAAATGTGGCTGCCCCATCCCTGGCAGTGTTCAAGGCCAGGCTGGATGTGGCTCTGAGCAACCTGGTCTGGTGGGAGGTGTCCTTGCCCCTGTCAGGGAGATTGTCCTAGGTGATCCTTAAAGGTTCCTTCTAATCCAAACTGTTCTGTGATTCTGTGAAATTCTCTCCTGTGTGTTACACAGGCGGCCAGGATTGATTGTCATAACAAAAGGTCTGGTTTTAATCTGCTAAACATTGGTGAAAACAAATCTCAGGAAATGATGACACAGTATCAAAGACCATGCATTATACATTAGCCAAATGAACTGTGGTCTTGCATCTTCATAGAAAGTTATGTTTGCTCATTAGTTTTTACTTCTAGTCTTCTCACTTTTGGTTAGGTGAGCAGTTGCATCTCAGAGCCTCAGTCTTGCCCTTTGGTGTTTCGTGATCACAGCTAAAATCTGCATCAGCATTTTTGGATGCACACTGACTGTTCAGAGCTGGTGAGCTGTCAGAGTTTAGATTCCCTCACCCCTGCCTGTAGGCATTTAACTGAGGTGCCTCGATTAAAAACTTGGTTGCCCAAGGCTCACACTGTGGTCACAGGGGAAAGACGGGCATCCCTGGAGACCAAGGTATTCCCTGTAGTTGCTACCTGAGAGGAGTTTCAGGTGGATGGGTTACAAAGAGTGATTTAGCTGTGTGCTTAGTGTTTTGTTGTATGACTTCAGGCGTAGTTGTTTTATCCATGTATTGAATTGCGTGATGGAAAACTGCCAGGGGGAGCTGGAAAATCTTTTCCCTGCTACAGTGTCAATTAATATGTAAGAGTATTTAATAACTGTAAATGGTGTTAGTCCCTACAAAGATACCGGTCAGTGTTTGGATAGCAGAGGTGGTTAATGCACCAGCTGCTATAATTAAAACTAAAAGTGCTGGCAAGGAGCTGCATTTGCTTGTTTTTAGCATAAATCTGTTGCTGTGGAAACCCTTGATCAGCATAGCTCAGTATCTCTGTTTATACAAGGCAGGCGCAAGTTACAAATGGTAGCGTTTCTCATGGAGGAATGGAACAGTCTTTTGAAAACATGTGTACAATGCCTATATGTTAGCCAATGACACATGCATACAAAAACATGCAGTTTTCAAGGTGTTATTTTTCTAAACTTTGTTGTGCCATTAGAAAAATATTTAAATAGCCTAATACATTTCAGTAATGAAAAATTATCTTGGATTTTCTGATTTTAGAGCTTAGTGATTTGTTCTTCTGATTTTTTTCTTTCTTTCTTTGCCTTAATAAACCTGCACTCTCTGCCTTTAAAACTGCTAGAATTTAAGAATGCAAATGATCAAATTTAAATGCATGTAAACAGACTGTAAGAATTACCAAGTTGTCTGGCATTGTGGGTGGTGTCATAGGATGTGAAATTGGCAACACCCATAGCTGGAACATTGCCTTGTACTTCTCAGGAAGGATCCTAAGGGTTTGTATGACTCTTGCTGTGCTTAAAAATTTGCCATTTGTAAGCTCAAGGCTGACTCTTTCCGATCCATCCGTAAGAACAAGGTTTGGGAGTGTTCAGAGAAATGAAGATTTGGGTTTTGCTCCCAGATTCTTCCCTTCCAGCATGTGAGTGCAAGTAGCTGTCTTGCTGCACAGTGTGCTCTGCTGGCCCTGCACAGACTTGTGTGTATTCCAGCCCTGGGCCAGCACGATGCCTTGACACGGGTACTGGCTTGTGCCCCATGATTTGGAGCCGAGGCAGTGCAATAGTGCCTCTAGCTGCATAGGGCTGTGCAGATGACAGTCTTGAAATTTGCTCACTCCAGTTGCAAATTTTACATGGATAATTAAAATCCTGTCTTTGGGAAAGTCAAATGCAGGACTGAAGCTAACGCATAGCACATCTTCTGTTTGTGCAAATTTAGAGAGTTTCTATAGCGCTCTGGTTAAGAAACCTTGTGCTTTTCATTTGTGCCCAATGTGAGTATGTCGAACACTTGAATTGCATGATCCATTCCTATGGGATCCCTGTACCACCGAGTGCTCAGGATAGATCTGCTTCGTGAGTGGAAAACAGTAGTGTTTGAAGCTGTAAGACCCTCACGTCTGTTGACCTGCCAGTCAGAAGGCACACAGGACTGTGGAATGGAGGCAAGAGAAAGATTACTGTCTGCAGCAATGGCATTTAATCCCAGCCTTTGTTGAGGAGCAGATATAGGAATCCCAGCAAATGGAGCAGGGATATTGCTGCTAGCACCCTAAGGGTTCATCTCTCCCCCCAGTGAGTAGAGGAGGGCTCTGAGGGCTGACTCTGGATGAACTGTGTGGGCTTCTCTGTGCTTAAAGCTGTCCAGGATATGATTGCAGAGGTATAGGAAACTGCAGTGTGCTTGGGTCAAAATGGCTACTTTGAAGAATGTAACAAAACTATTCATGACTGTTGTTGAAGTTTATTGAAAGGTTGAGTTGAGGTCTGCCTTTTCGTGCCAGGAAAGTGTTCCTTGCGTAAACTTGTTTGTATTCTGGTGCCATTGGCTTTTTGTGCACAGTGGACTTTGTTTCCATTATAAATTTTTAACCTCTCATAAGATACTGATCTATTTTATATGTGAAGTTTGAGCTTAAGTTTCACTCACCTCTAGCTAAATTTTTACAGCACTAAAATCTGAAGGAAAGGTTCCTTCACAATTAGGGACACTTACAATTAATAACACTTGTACATGTCAGTTATGGTAGCTAATCATGTCCTTTCAAACTGTCATTTATTTTCTGAAGTTAATTAGCTTTCAGTTGATTTCTTGGTAGAAATCTTTTGGTGATGCAGTCACGTGCAAATGCAAGAGCAGACCTGGTAAACAGGTGGGTTTGTTACTGGCCATAGATTTGAGAGTTGGCTCTGGGCACCTTAAGGCTATTTCAAGGCTTATTTCACCAGCTTGGTATTGTCCAACCATGTCCATGTTACTTAGCTTTCCGAAACACGGTGGCCACAAGGAGATTGCCCACTGGGATTGATCCTTGTGCCAGATTCAGAAGCCAATTTCCAGCTCATTATCCTTCAGGGGATTTGTTTTCTGTATATTGCTAGTACTATTAAAACATGTTGTTTGCCTTCAAATAGTAAGCATACTTGAGCCTTCATCTTTCCAGCTAACTTGCTGATGTGTTGTTACTCTTCAGGGTGTTTGGACACGATATCCAAGGCAGGGACTGTGGTGATGAAGTGGCTCAGTGGATCACCACTTTCCTGAAATCACAGCCCTATCGACTGGTGCACTTTGAGCCCTCCATGGTGCCAAGAAAGTCAAAGAAGATAATAGACCTTTTCCGAAGCACAGATGAGGTAAATGAATGTTCTTTTTCTCAGAAGTACTTCCTTTTAACCATTTCCCACCCACCCACCAAAACTTGCCTGTTCCACCATTGGTGATTGAGCCTAGTTTAGCAAGGTGTGTAATCATGTACTTGAAACATGTGAGTATTCTCCTTTTCTGTGGTGAGATGACTTGCTTAACTTACTTCTAAACTGTTAACCATTTGCAGCTAAAGAGTCTGAAACTGATATTTGAAAAGGAACCTTTTGTGCCTCAGCGAATAGAAAAAAGTTACATTTTTAAAGATGTTTTGATGGTGTCATCTGTGTTGCATAGAAAGCCTCCATTCCCTATCCCTTGTTAGGTCTGAGAGTTTACTGATACAAGTTGTTACTTCATATTTTGTTTAAAGGAATGATACTTAAACCAGGGCCTTTTGGCTGTGGGCCTAGGAGTTGAAAAGAATGTTACAGAAGTTTCATCTCTTTCTGTGGGAAGAGGCTCGAAGGTGTGATATTAGAGAACTTGAATGCAGATATGGAAAGGAGGTGTTGCGCTCAGATATCCTCCTGTCGTTTGAGCCATTGACACCCTTCTTGTTTGAACAACTCTCTTGGGTGAAGGTGGTTTGAACTGTCCCTGGTGGAGTGTAAGGTTTTTAAACAAATTAAAGTTATGAGTACCTTGTCTTACTGATGTTATTATTTGTATGGCATCAGTGTCTTGCTTGTTGCACAAAGAGAAGAAGGTATATTCAATTACAGATTTACAGATATGCTTTTATTATGTAAGGGCACTGAGATCAATACAGAAGACTTGGTTTCAGCAAAAGGATGTGAGATTAGGAGGGGCGACATTCAGGATCCTAGCATGAAGAAAGGGCAGAATTTTTTGTATAATTATTTCAGTAGTCATCATCACGTGATGGTTGAAAGGCATGTGCAAGGATAGGAGGAAGAATAATGTAAAAGAAAAACAGAAGTGTTATACACTAAAATTCTTGCCAAAAATTTTTTTTTTCCTGTGGAAGTCCACTTCTAGGATGTTTGTGGAGTTTTTTTGAATATTGTTCTTTGGCCTTGTTTGCTAATATGGCAGCCCTTCCACTGCCAAGCAAACTTAGACTGACAAATAGACAGTTGTAATTGAGTATTGCTGTTCTGGATGTGGAACTCCCTTTTGGAGTTGTGATAAGACTGATTCATTCGTTAGAAAAATCCAGTTAGTTCATTATAGTCAACTGGATCAGCTCAGCAGGTCTGTAAATGTCTTGAGTATCTTTCATAATTTACCATAACATGTTTTACTGAAATGCTTGATTCTGTCCGTAGTACCTGGAATAAGCATCTGGGACATGCATATGGTATTACTTTGTAAGGAGCTGTGGTAGCTTATATAATTTTGGTTTAATTCTGTAGGGAGAAGTTTAATTTTACAATTTGAGCAAATGAAACTCGCCATGGTTACTGAAATAGGAAAGAGCATGTTGTTTCCCTTGTTAATATACTTCTAGGAAAATGAAAACCTGAATGGAGCAGCCTAACAGGCTAATATGTGGCCAGTGGTTCCAACACACCTGTCCTTTTGCCATTCCATAACTTTCCTCCTGTGTTCTTACAGCAACCTTAGGGTTTGTTTGTGTTTGTTTGTGTAGGTTGCCTATCCTGACTGCAGCCCACTCTTGCTCCTCTCTGAAGCTTCAATGGATGATTTAAATACAAGGCTGGAAAAGAAAGCTAAGATACAGAACTTCAGGCCAAATATTCTTGTGACAGATTGCAGTGCTTTTGACGAGGTAAAATAACTGTCTTAAAAGTCTTTTGAAGACTTGGATATGTTTCACTGTAGCTCAATTTCCTTGTGTGACGGTGCTATGAAGGTGAGGAAAGCTGCTATTCCGTGATTTTTACAACTGAATCCCAGAGAGATAAAACTTCTACCCACATCAGTGCACGTGAAACATTCAGGGAGGAGGCAGGTCTCTGAATTATTATTTAGCTTAGCAAAGGATAAAATAAATGTGTTTAAATGACAGGCTTGCCACTGAAAGTTCATATTCAGGTGTAAAGTAGGCAAAGCTGTGCATACTGTAATTGACCAGTTAATGATACAAATAAACAATTTGTAAATTGTCAGTGTCATATTTTTTAAATAGCCTTTGGCACAGGAGTAAAACTAACCCTTGCAATACTTCAGTCCATCACTGCATCTCTGACAATGTTCTGGTAGTTCAAAAAACCCACTATTTAGGACGGTATCAGGTGATGAAATGAACTGATAATAGTGGTGTTCACGTGGGTTTATGTCATGTTGCCATTTTAAAAAAAAAATTTCCTCTGGATAGATCTGATAATTTCTCAAATCTAAAAAGTTCCTGAAGTGGGAATAGATCTCTGTCTCCCAAGAGGGATTGCAATAGGAAGCTTGTGTAGATGAGAAGCGAAAGGTTACTTCCACTAAAAATTTCCTTTCTGCAAAAATGGTGACCTGCCAGAGGCCACAGATCAGATTATCACCCACACAGTAAGAATAAATGTGGCTTAGATTCAGTGCTTCAGACAAGGGCACATTGCAGAATGGGGTTCATTATTTGTGTATCGTTCTTTTCAGATATAATTCTTAGTTGGTGCTGAATTGGGATAAATACCCTGAAATGGGATAAATGCAGTGACCATAAGGTTTTCATTAAAATAGTACTGTAATGTAAGTGTGCATATTTTGAAGGTATGAGTAAAGTGATCATCTCGAATGGTGCAGCGTTATGAATGACTGTGCTGCTCCTGGAAAAGTGATTGCGTGTGGGCGTGTCTAATCCGTGCCCAATGTTTCCCTTCCCTCAGGACACCTGGGAGGATATCCTTATTGGTGATGTGGAGCTGAAAGGGACCGTGTGTTGTGGCAGGTAAACATTTGAAACCTTTATTTTATATAGATGCAAAGAGGTTTATGATAAGAAACCGTTACTGATTTGGCACTGTGTGTCATTGCAGGTGTATTTTAACAACTGTTAACCCAGACACTGGAGTCCTGGACAGGAAGGAGCCCTTGGAAACACTGAAAAGGTTATAAAAACAGCAGCGTTTCTTAGGCTGTGGGAGAGGATTTAGGCTAGATCCCAACATGTTAGACTAGTATTTTAGAAGTGATTTGAAGTGTGTGGGTCATAATCATGCAGTGTAAGAGTCTGTGTATTTTGGCTTCCAGTGTACTTTTTGCTGTTCTGTATGGTAAGAAAATTCAAGTTCTCTCTTCTTTCTTGCGAACTTTACATTCTGTATCTCTTCCATCTCTGCTAGTGTGAATGCTTGGGGTAACAAGTGTTTAAGATACTTAAAGCTCTAACTTTGCTACTTTGACTTTTCTTTTTACAAAAATTTTTGTGTAAGTATTAGACTGCATAGTAAGTATGTGTAAGTATAGATGCATGAATACAGTCAAGCTTTTTTCCTTCCACATGAACTGTTTGATTCTCATAACTACAATATTTATTTAGTTTTTAGTCTAGTATGGTGGTGAAAACAGGGCATCATTATTCGTGTCCTCTCTTTCATCACTGATATTTTGATGTTTAGGTTTTGCTAACACTGGTTCTAAAGAAGGGCTTTCTCTCTGCAGTTACCGCCTTTGTGATCCATCTGAGAGACACATCTACAAAACCAGCCCTCTCTTTGGGAAATACTTTGCTGTTGACAAAACTGGAATGATTCAAGTTGGAGACCCTGTGTACAAGATGATCTGGGAATGAAAAAGACTTTGATCAGAGGATGCTTTTTCACCTTCATACACCAATTGTTTTCCCATGAACACAGTCACCAACATAACCTTTTCTTATTCCTTGCAATATTTTTTGTGCCATGTCCCTTTGTAAGGTGCAGGGGACTCTTTGAGGCTATGAAGTGCCAGCCCTTTCAGATCATGTAATCTACTAACGTGCCTGTAGCAACCAGGTCTTTAATTTTTCTGGAGGCTGTGAGAAAAGAAACTGATCCAATAGAGACTTCACAGCACTACTGTGAGCATCACATCTCCTAAAATTTCATGTCAACCTCAATATTGGAATCTGAAATTATGTACAGGGGTTTGCATTGTGTATTAGATACATTTAGTGCCTATAAAGAACCACAAAAACAGTCATGCCAAGCACAAAGTATGTTGGTCACAGAGCTGCCTTTACAAGTGAACATGGAGTGAGAATGGCAGGACTCTGTCTTGGATTCCACCCTTCTTTGGTCCTAATCATCTTACCCAGCTATGTGCATGTCCAGAGGCACTTTTCTGCAGTGTTTCTAAACCTGCAGTTGTTTCCTGAAGATTGCTGCTATCTTTTGAGATTGGAGCAATAGCAGGAGAAGGCTTGTGAGCTGACTAAATGCTACTGCAGTCTAGAGGTGGGAACACTGGCTAATGATGTCTGTGGGTTTGTTTGGTTTGTGACCTCTGCTCAATAGTTTGAACCGTCAGGTTTTTTCTCCTGTGAAAGGAGTTCTACCCCAGCACTGTAACACTGAGGCTGTAGTGATACATTTGCTAACATATCAGTAGAATTTCCAGTTTGACTAAAAGGATTGGATGTTCACTCTGACAGAGATTTCATGCGCAGTGGAGGGGAAGAAAAGCCATCAGGAGTGATCTGATGCTGAGCCTGCCATGTTCAAACAGATGTCCAGGCAATGTTGTAGGGCTCTGTGTTCATGCGTAGCTTCTTTGTGACTCAGTGAATCTCTTAGTATGGAAAGTTAGGCTGCTAAGGAGATGTTTGGGAAGCTGCAGCTTGAGACTGAGCATGTTAACATCCTTACTGGTCCTGCATCTAGATCTCTGGTTACCAGGCCTGTTTCAATTCAAACAAAATGTCAGGCATTTGTAGGAATCTGATAATTATATTTTCTACTGCATAAAACAAATAGCAGAGGAAACTAGTTGTTTTACGGCAGTATTATCTTTAATTGTTATGTGATTTTTTTTCTTTTTGAAAGTGAACTCCTAGATAAAAGCCAGCTATCTTTCAAATGCTTGTTGCTTGTTTCAAAAGCTTGGTGCTTTGTTATGGGTTACTAGATCTAGAAAGAGTGTTCCCCTAGCCAAAGAGAGGAATCTAATTAAGTGTGGAGAAGGGCAAATATGTCTGAATTTGGTGTTTAGATTCTTTCTATTTTAAGTATAAACTTGAAATTTTAATGCATTTAGTTCACAAATTAGACCTGAAGAATGGAGAACCATTGGGCTTTGAACAAGTTCAGGTGGATGTGTGTGACAAGCCTGAAGCAGAAATACAGGGAAGGTATATTTATGAACTCAAAGTTGCTCTGATTGTCATTTTGTTAGCAGAGTGCTCTGTAAGGATTAGGTTTTCCTGGGACAGACAAGTGCCCAGTTTGGACTCCACGTTGCATATTTGTGTATTGTTATGCCTCATGCAACAAACAGTGGGAGGATATGAGAGAAAAAGCATCTTTTGAAAACAAAGGATTCTGAGGGTCAGTTTTAAAAAGCAAGTGTTGAAGGTTCTTAATGTTAGAAGCTGAAAGCTTGTGGAATTCCTAATGATATTATTAAGCACAGGCAGCCTGCTGGCCTGCCAAAGCAATTAGTTAAGTGTGTGTCTCTTCATTAAGTCAAAGAAGCGGAAGGAAAGAGAGCTGATTTTTTGCCTCCAGCGAAACATATTTTTTTTCACTGTTGTTTTAGCAGCACATCAGCATTTATGTAACAAATTGTGTGCTATAGATCCTGTAGCCTCTCATTAGGCTGTTGTCAATTGGGATAATTTGGAAATGGGGCTGTCCCTGCAATGGGAAACAGCCATCTGCATTCTTACTGAGAAGAGGGCATAGATCTAAACCCCTGATTTACTCCTGTAAAGCTTCTTAGAAGAATATTCCTAGAATCCCAGAACAGGTATGCACCTGTGTACAATACATTTCACAAATGACACTTAAAACAATCATGTTGTCAAAGAGGGCTGTTTTGGGAAGTCAAGAGCATAACTTAGAACATTACACTGTAAATATCTTCATGTAACTTGAATTGCTGTAACTGTATGAATTTTATTTGATTTTGTTAAAACAATTTAGGAAATTGACTGAAAATATGTCAATCATAAACCACTGTTTCTAAATTGTATACTTAAAGTTAGTACTTTTTTTTTTTAATTGTAGAAGAAGAAAAAAAACTATAAACTTTAGTTAAAGTCTCATAAGCTGTAGCATTTGTGAATCTTTCTTACCTTTTCCTTTTTTCCCTGTTTTCTGTTTCCAGGATCTCAGGAGTAGTTAATACTGACGATTTTTTTTTTTTTTAATCCTACCTCTAAGTACAAGAATATATGCAGTTAACCAGAGGGTATGTGTAAGACAGCAGAACCATCAGATAATAAGTGGTCACCAGACTCAGTTTTGCAACCCAACAAATGTATGAAAATAGGGGAAAATAGGTTTGAAAGATGAAAAGTTTAGTACAGTCAAGTCAATGCATGGTCATCCTTCCTATTTCATGTCTTATAGGATAAAACCAAAACTTTTTTTTACAGGACTTGTTACACCGATAATTCTTGCAGAAGACCATGTAAGAGAAGGACAGTTACTGCAGGCAGAAATTTCCAGGTTACTTAAAATTCGAGGTGGGTATGTTTTCAGCCAAGTCTGCCTACCCTCCAAAAAGCCTGAGAAAGATCATGCTTCAGCTTCTTAAAGAGAAGCACAGCCTTCCAAAGGCATCACTCTGCTGCTCTATAAGAAGTGAAGAGACTCCTGGTCCTTGCCTCTACAAATGGCAAAAGTTTCAAAAAGGGCTGACACAGGGTGTTAATTTCTGGTCTATCCCAGCCCCTTAAATTGCCTTTTCCTCATTCAGGATCCATAAGAAATTCTCTCTACTGGGTAGCTGACAGGCTGAAGTCTACACATGCAAAATCTTTGTTTCTTTTGGACAGAAGATTCTTAATGCAGGCATAAAACCCATGTGTGTATCGGTCTTCAGCTGAAAGAGAGGCAGCATTCATACCTCATAAAGGTTCATACTTTTACATAATCTGCATTGTGTTAATGCTAACAATCTCAACTTAGAGAGTCCCTGTTACTAGATACTATTTTTGCATTTTACCTATGTGGCTGCATGTTCTCAAGGCATTTCTGTGCAGACAGATTGAGAATGAGCCTTTAGTTACTGAGTAACCTCTATTTCCAGTATTCAACAATAGCCTGGCTTGAGGAATGCCACTCTCCTCAGTGGACCACAGCTCATCACACTGGCTTCAGCAAATCACAGAATCAGAGTGGGTAAAGTTGGAAGGGAACACAGCGGGTCATCTGGTCCAACCTCCCTGCTCAAGCAGGGCCATCCCAGAGCACATGGCACAGGATTGTGTCCAGACGTTTCTTGAGTATCTCCAGTGAGACAGACTCCACAGCCTCTCTGGGCAACCTGTTCCAGTGCATGGTCACTTGCACAATAAAGAAGTTGTTGCTCATATTCAGGTGGAACTTCCTGTGCATCAGTTTCTGCCCACTGCCTCTTGTCCTATTGGTAGACACCACCAAGAAGAGCCTGGATCCATCCTCTTGATACTCACTTTCAGATACTTACTGATAAAATCAAAACACAAGTAACTAGGCTGAGCTAAACAGCAGGTAGAGATAGAGATTATGTTCCACCTGTACAGACTAAAGACGTGGAGTAGCTTGTGGTACGTCACTGTGAAGAGTTTGGGTGGGAACCTCTCATTTTTCTGGCACTATGTAAAGAAAAAGCATCTCCCCTTTGCCCCTGGACTGTTATGCACAAAGCATCTAGCTGGCTGAAACTTCATTTTCCTCCAGGAGCAATATTGTAGAGAATTGTATCTTCTCTAGTGTACAAAATTGCTCTGACAGCTTATCACTGCTTGTTTAACAGCTGACTGTTCTCACTTCCTTTAGGCACTAGAGAATAAGCACAGTGAAACAATTACCGGACTCCATTGATGCACTAACCCTCAAAGCCTCTTTGCTGTGGAGTTCCAAAGACCAGCTTCATTCACTCTTAATTGAGGTTTGTCTTCCAGAGCTTCTGAAGGATGATGATTCTTCAGCCACAGCAGCCACAATTATATTCACTGAGTCATGGACAGCTATTTTCAACAGACCTTCCTATAACACTTTGGCATAAGTTAAAGGTGATGGCTAAATCTCTTCATTTTGTCAAAATTTTGCACATTGTAAGTGTAGGACTGGAAAAAACAAAACAGCTGGATCAGAGTGCAGTCTTCTATAGCTGCGAAAACAAAGCAATAGACATTAACTTCAGGCTTGGACAATACCTCCTTCATCCCTCTCCACATACCATGGGCCACAGGGCAAACTTCCTGTCAAGCTTTGAAAACTTTAAAATTTTGATAAAAGATCAAAAGCCACAGTGGTAGTTGGACTGCAAGAAGATCATACGAGAGATCAAGAGTACTACCAGTGTCTTAGATGCTTTCAAAGGTAAAGACTGAACTCCTCAAAAAATAATCTTCCACTGTGTTTCCAGTTGTGGGATTTGGTGGTCCATATTAATTCTCCATTCCTTGGGTTTGTTTAAGATAAAGCAGAAGGTCAACCTCTTTTCAATTACCTCAAGAAACAGATAACATGAAATTTCATTTCCTTCAGCTCTCCTTTATTTCTGTTTAATAGACCTAAAGCTGTCCAACAATGGTTTGCCATATCCTGGGCTGCATGGCTTTTAGTAGAACTCTCTTCCAGCTTATGTTCATGAGCTCAAAAACGTAAGTCACAGACATCCTAACTGAGGATGCAGATTGCTCTGTAATTAATCCTGGAAGGGGCACCAGGAAGCCAAATAGAATCCATCAATCTAAACTTACTTGTTAAAAGTCTGGGAAAATACCTCATACTTTCAGAATTCCGTGAGAAGTATCTGCTCAGCCCTGGAAGCAGTTTTAGGAAAAGGCAGAGTTTATTTGAGATGCAACTCAAACACACTTGAGTCCTTCAACAGCCACTTCAGCTCTTGGCACTGTGTCTGATGGAGCAGAATGTCTGTGTTGAACCTCGCTTGAAGGCAGCCCTGCATGCTACTGCTCTCTACTTGTGGGAACTGTACTGTGCTGTGCCACCAAAACACCTGCCTAAGTGGTCATCTGGATCTTCCTCATTGCAAGACTCTTCTCTGCTACATAGGGTGGCAGTGTTGGCTGTGCTTTCTGGGAGGGCCTATTTTGGGAACAGCCATGCTTCAGGAAGCCGCTGGGACTTATCAGCCCCTGGGAGGATGCTGAGAGCAGATAAAATTGAAATAGCTAGCAAGAACCTCTGTGGCATTGCTGAGAACCTGGCTCAGATTATCACCTGGAGTCAGCCTGGCCTTGTGGAATCTATCTTTGGAAGCAGTGGCGGCAGTGCTGGAGTCAGTGTTGTGCAGCTACAAAGGGTAAACAACACGTGTGTTTATTTTAAGATTGCCAACAAGAGCAAAGTCCACGTGACTTCTTTAGTTTGAACATGCAGCTGGACCCAAGGGAAGTCAGACACTGCAGCAGAAAATGGAAAGCTGCTAGAGGAGAAAAGAAACCAAAACATTATGATGCTATTCCACTTTTTTATTCTATTAGAATTATAGAATGGCTTGGATTGGAAGGGACCTTAAAGGTTACAATTCCAAGCCCCCTGCCATGGGCAGGGACACCTTCACTAGACCAGTTTGCTCAGAGCTCCATCCAGCCTGGCCTTGAGCACTGCCAGGGCTGCAGCCCCCATAACTTCTCTGGGCAACCTGTGCCTCACTACCCTCATTGTAAGTATTGCGCTTACCAACTGCAGAGAAACTGCAAACATGGATGGCATGGCTAGATAGTTTTCTTGCCTGGGGAGCAGAAGAGATTAGCTCCTGCACCTGGGGAGTTTAGAGGTAGCAGTATATCTGAAACCTTAGTTACTTGGCTTGACTACATAATTCACTGCTGTTAAAACCTTTTATTTTGGTTGGTTTGTTTGCTTTTCAGCAGAAAATTATAATTTTATTTACACAGGTGTGTTAAAATATTATTTTGCTAATTTAAAACAAACAAGCCCAAAAATACTCCCTCCTGACACCTCCCCCCCACCAAAAAAAAACACACCCCTCCAAAACCCTAAACCTAAAAATCTCTGGGTTTTTTCAGTTGTTTGTTATGAAAAAGATTGCCAACAGCACAGCTCCAAGCAGCAGAAAAGCCATATTGCCAAACAACAAGCAATGCATTTAATCATTATGGAGCCATCTACCAGCATCTCTTTCCTAAAAACCCTGTCAAATTTAGCATTCTTACAAGAGCCTTGGAACACCAATGCTTGTCTTGTGTTCTGCTGACCTTTCTTCAATCCAAAAATAGCTGTTCTTACCCCATTGAACTTTCTACAAACAGAAAGACATTTGATGCCAGCTAAATTTGAAGAAAATAAACTATATTTAAAGCTATTAGTCAGTATTACAGATAGTTCCTGCTTTCCCCCATGCCCCGGGATTGTTTGCCTTTTTAAAATGGAATAGGTTTGGATGGAGTATGTTTCTCTGGCATGGCTGTTCTGAAGGGGCCTCCCACAGATGCTATTTAACATATCCTCTGTTAATTCAAGGGGAGGTGAGTGTATTTTATCTGTTCATCTAGATGGAGCTCTCAAAGTGGATTTGGAGCCGGATTTGAAGATCATTTTAAATTTGTATATTTAAAAGTGGAGAAGTATGCCTGCAGGTGAGTCTGAAAGCAACCACTCTTATACCAAGCTCATTTATCCTTTTTGAAAAATAAAATTTGATTGTGCACTATTAATAATAGATTTCAGATAATGCTTTTGGGTTTCTTTAGGGTTTATTCGCAGAGTGTCAGTGTTTACTCTGCATGTTCTCACCAAAATTACAAGATCCTGAAATTCTCCACAAAAAAAATCATACAACACAAATGTGGTTTTGAAAAGCAATTCAATTCCTTCTGTCCTCTCTCACTTTTTTTTATTGGGTAATGCAATTGTTTCCTTCCATCTTAAACCCTTAAAACAGTCACCTGTTTATAGTGTCTCTGTGTGTCTATGTGTATATATGCATATTTACATATTTATTATTGACTGTATAAGAAATCAACCTTGGGTTCAAAATGGTGTGGTTTGCATTTATACTCAAATACTTTGTTTTGTCAGGTTCCCCAAGGTTGCCCCAAACAAACGTCTGAGGGTATCTTAAAGC